GCACTTTGCTGATCCCGGGGTGGGACCTGATCTTCGAGGCGAGGGCCTCCATCACAATCACGAACAACAGGGGTTCTATGGGGTCACCCAGGCGTACCAATCGTTGCAACTGTATTGGAGGCGAGAGGTGGCCATTGAGCATAATATTAGTGGTGGCCATCCTGTGGAGGAGCTGCACCCAATTACAAAAGGCTGGACCGAAATTCATCCTAACCAAGCACATGTCCAGGAAATCCCAGTCGACGTGGTCATATGCTTTCTCGAAATCTATGAACATGATGGTCGCTTGAGCTTTTCGCTGCCTCGCATATCTGATGGTTTCCTTGACCAGCAGGATATTGTCTTCGATGTTGTGATTGGGCATAAAGCCTGTCTGATCGGAATGAATGAGCACATTCATGTGGGGCAGCAATCTCTTGGTCAGCGCCTTAGCCACCAACTTGTACGGCACGGGGAGGAGGGTTATGGGTCTATAGTTTCTGATGTCCTCTCTATCCCCCTTTTTATACAGGAGTGTGGTCACCCCTTGCCCGATCATGCCACCGAAGGTGGCGTGTTGCTGGACTGCCAGAATGCAGTCCATCAGATCATCCCTTAGCAAATCCCAGAATTGCACCCATAATTCTTTTGGAAACGAGTTAATGCCTGACGTCTTCTCATCTTCCATATCCTGCAGCGCTTCCCATATATCTTGTTGGGTAAGAGGGCTGTCAAGTTTATTCCTTTGGGTATCTGTGAGACGCGCGTGGACAGTTGTCAGCAATTCTTCTCTTTCATGGTGGACTTCATCCGGGGGCTTGGTCGGCGTTTGAGAGGTGAACGGGTGGCGATAGTACTGGGTGACGTAGTCTGTTATAGTGTATGCATTAGTTGCACGAGGGGTCGCTGCGTCCTGCGGATGCTTTAGTGTCGGGACAGTGTTGGCTCTCGCTCTGGCTCTCGCTTTGCTAAAAAAGGCCTTAGACATGGTCCCGTCTGTCAGGGTTGTCAGGCGGGGGCCCCCGGGGGCAAAGCCGGGGTAGGGGTTTGAACCTCGGACCCCCGCCGCAGGGGTGCCCCACCCCC